CTCTCTCTTTCTCTCTCTCTCTCAGCTATAACTTTCATTTTAGGAATCTTGTAACAACATTGATCCAGTGATTTTTTTTTTACCAGTGCATGGTCAAAGCAGCCTGATTCCTAATTGATCAGACGTATGTCGTTGATAGTATTATGCACTGATAATTCATCAATGGCCCATCCCCAGCCGTTTGTGAGTGGGTGGTTGGCGGGTGCTCTGGTGTGGTTTGCTCCTTCTTTCCTATCAAACATCTATCGTCCTTTTCTCCCCTCCTTCTATTTTGTGTTTGTTACTCTCTTGTAACACCTCTAATCTTCGGCACTTATATGACCTTATTGTGTTGCAAGTGCTGTAAAACACTCAACGAAACGAAAAGAACAAGCGTGTGTGTTTCAGAGGGACGAGAACGTGGACTTTTTCTACCTGAGTAAGAACGACGTGTACCTGGTGGCAGCTCACCCGACCCCCGAGGGCGCAGACAGCGCGGCCAGCCTCCTGCTCTACCTGGACTTGTTACAGAGGTACGCTGGCTACAGTGGCAGCAACACGCCGTGACCTCAGTGCTTTCTTGGCCTATCTACTTGTTTTTTTTACATTGAAAATGTAAATTCTTATGAACTCTTTAGACCCTCAGTTGTTTCCACTGTTTCCCGAGTTTTTTTCTAAGGTCACCTAAACCTGGCACACTATGTGTCATTATAAGCCCAAAAGCTTGCCGCTAACTTCTAAATGGCGGAAACAAAGGCTTCGCCATTACTAAAAAACTTGGTTCGAGAATAGTTCCAAAGAACAAGCAAAAACTAGCACTAAATGGAACGGAACAGTTGTCACTGGTATCGGACGCTACCGATGGGGTTTAAAGAAATAAGCTCACTCTTTGTTATGAACTGTTTTCGCTGTTATTAAAAATGGAGCTAGGACAAGAAAGCACAGGATAAGAAAGCACTGAGGCCGTGACACTTGGTTTTCCAAACCTTGCGATGTCCAGGTCCCTGGTAGTTGACTTGATGCCTGAATGATGAAACAATGTTACTGTCTTTCTGGGCATTCAGCTTCCTTTCCAAAAATGTGGGGTGGGAAGAATTTCATCTTTCCATCTTCAACTTAAAATGTGGATGGATGGCGGGTGCTCTGGTGTGGTTTGCTACTTCTTTCCTATCAAACATCTATTGCCCTTATCTCTCCTCATTCTGTGTGATTGTGGTGGTACATCTTGTTGTTTTGTCTGTGATTGGTCGTACATCTTGTTCTGTTTGTCTGTGATTGGTCGTACATTTTGTTCTGTTTGTCTGTGATTGTGGTGGTACATCTTGTTGTTTGTCTGTGATTGGTCGTACATTTTGTTCTGTTTGTCTGTGATTGGTGGTACATTTTGTTCTGTTTGTCTGTGATTGGTCGTACA